CAAGACTCCCATCAGCGAGAAGACTCCCTTGGTCTTAATTGATACTGTTGAACATTTGCTCAAACTATGTTACTTGTAAATCGAAGTTCAATTTTTTTCTTAAATTTAATCTTAACAGAAATTTGAAAGATTTTGTGCTGAAAAGACTAATAGTAATACGATATGTACGTGCATGCTTTGTCTGGCTCAGGCCACCTATTTAACGTACGTTATACATCTTAATGCATGAAAATAACAAATTATTCCATTGTTATCGCTGACTGATCTTCAGTAACGCATGCTTGTCGTAAAGGCGACTAACGGGATCGGGTGGTCAGGCTCGCTGACTTGGTTGACACGTCATCGTATCCCAGTTACGTAGATCGATGCTCATGCTGTTGATCACATGATTGTCTGGTTCAGACTCGATTGTTTACAGACCGCCGCCATACAGCCGGTATATTACTGAGTGCGGCGTAAAACTAAACTCACTCACTGTATGTTGTAAGAGAAGTCCACTTGGTGATAGAGAGATCAGACAGGGAATTATGTACCCACTAGAAGATCAACTTGTTTCATACTATACTGATATCTAAATGTAACTGTCACGGGATACCGTCACGGGGGAAGCCCAGTCCACTGATAACAGATAATATTTCATGTTTACGTATAAGTGGGTTAATATTGACTTAATGTATACATATATAGGTTCAGGAGTGGCCGTGTTTTGAAAGACTATTATCAACGTATTTACACGAATAAATTATTCCAACAGATGTGTCCTAACATTCAAATTCTGGACTCTATTTCGCAATTCCGTTGTATGATTTCGATGGATATGAGGTCAGGGTTTGTGTTGGTAGTTGTGACATGGTTGTGACGTCATACGCGACTGATATCGGTATCAGTCATATATTTACATACACGGGAATAGTTTACTGTTTATATTTGTTCTAACATGTCACCATCGTCACCATCATCATCAAAATAATCATTAGTAATTTTATTGCTCTTGAGTAACTTAATATCATCCGTTCATGAGAAGGCCGGCCCTCCCTTGCTCCCCACTCCTCCGCAATTTCATGGCGGTAGTGTTGGATTTCGACATCCTGACGAATAATACAGTGATTCTACGTGGTATTGCCGTTCAGGTGCATCATTGTGCAGGTGTACTTTTCAACCTACCTGTGAAGTAACATTTGTTATATTTGGGATTGCACTTTCTCAGAAAAGTACAGATCATAATACGTTTTGGGTTGGGTACGTTGAGTCCCATCCGGGATTTGAGCCCACACTCTCTGTAAACTCCCGGGTTATAGTGATTCTTCTGTTGTCGGGAGAGGCAACGAGTGAGTGGGTGAGTTTAGTTTGACGCCGCAATCAGCAATATCCGAGCTATATGGCGGCGGTCTGTAAACAATCGAGTCTGGGCCAGACAAGTCAGTGATCAACAGCATGAGCATCGATCTGCGCAATTGGGAACCGATGAGATGTGTCAACCAAGTCAGCGAGCCTGAGCACCCGATCCCGTTAGTCGCCTCTTACGACAAGCATGGGTTACTGAAGATCAATATTCTAACCCGGACCTTCACAGGTCGGAGAGGCAGCGAACAGGACTGCGGTACCTGGCTGGCTGTAATGCTTATCACTGAAACCCATTTGCTTAAATCGGTGGTCGATACAGGCTGGACCAAACTCGATCGGTGTTTGTCCTTAACCCTGAAAAGCAGCAGGCTCTAAGGACCCAGAACCATAAATAGTTGTGGGTCCTGATCAGAATGTGTAGGCCCTATATTTTAATATGGAAATAATACTCTTAGTTTTGGGGATGAAAAAGCTATCGGCCTTAAGGACCTGCAGAAAACAAAAGCTGTGGGTCCGAGTGGTTTTCAGTCGGCTTCGGGCCTAAGAACCGACGTTAATTTCGAACGCTGAACTCGATTATATACATAAGGGTGTCATATCTGTAATATTACTGAGCGTTAAAGGAAGGAACAAAACAATACCAATTTAAAGATGCATTATTGCAATGCTGTTTCAACAGTTAAAAGTTGATGTCCCTGATCACTCTTGTTTTGTTTATGTTTTCAAATCTGATAAATATTATTCAAATAGTATTGTGTTATTTAAAATCAAATTACCCAGCCTAACTATAAAAGAAGGACCTGCAGAAAACTGTGGGTTCAAATCCCGGATTCTAACATGTTAGAATAGACATTTCGTCTCGTTGATCCAACATCGAGCTGACACAATGTGTCGAATATGGCGGGAAGGTAGATGGGTTTAACACCACTTATAACAGTATTCAAGTTATATCAAAGGCCAGCTTAATGAGGGAGTTAATCCGGGTTAGTATTAGTCTTCAGTAACCCATGCTTGTCGCAAGAGGCGACTAACGGGATCGGGTGGTCAGGCTGGCTGACTTGGTTGACACATGTCATCGGTTCCCAATTGCGTAGATCAATGTTTATGATGTTGATCACTGGATTGTTTGGTTCAGACTCAATTATTTTACAGACCGCCTTCCTATAGTTGGAATACTGCCGAGTGTGGCGTTAAATAACAAACATTACGAACCACTTGTACATGTATATTCTATGGGTTCTCGTCTGATGTCATGTCACTGCGAGTGAGACATACATATTGAAGCAGTGAACTCCTAACCCCAAGTCACCTCCAGAAAAACTCTGCTGTGTATAACTATAAACGTTCTTCAAATTGTCGTCTTTTTTCATTGGTTACTCCTTTTAAAAATATGGTTATGCAAATAATGTGGAAACTCTTAAAATATTCGTTCTTTTATTTCATGATGAATGTTAGGGACGCTTTACATTATCATAGTTGTCATAGCTCTGAGCATAAGAATGCGTAAGTATTTCTAACGGTTCAAGTCTCCGCCCAACGTTGGCGTGTAAATGTTGTTTCCTGTTCAATTTTCATTTAATCGTGTTCTTTTACATTTTTATATAATACCGACTGTTTTTTTGTTTTTTGTTTTTGTTTGGGTTTTTTGTTATTGACGTGCAAAACCGCTCTATTCCCGTCACAGCCACCTTTTACATGTGTTTTTCATCAACAAATGATGCAGGTAAGCAAATCTACACCATACTGTTTGCCGACATGACATGGAGTAAAAGCTTTATCGATATTGGAACAATAACACAGCGGGAATTGTTAATGAACTGGCTTTTACGAGCACCAAGTTCGATTGTCGGCAGCGCTTATCTCCTGATGACCTTCACCTTGCTTCGACCCATTCACCAGATATCACACAAACATCTTCGGGGACCGGTCACTTTGTTGTCAAAACAAGCCTGCCGCAGTTGTTTGTTTACCGGTTGATTCATGACAGATCACGAACTAGTGTTAAACAAGCCAAACAATTAACATCGTGAATTGTTGTTCAAACAATACTTCCATATCACGATTGAGCTTCCCTGTCAATGACAAGGCAAAAAGCAAATTTAGCAATCAAGTAAGATAAACATTCCAACATCAAACTTTACTGAGGACGCAAATCGTTAAAGATATATTCTTTAAGTGCCCTAGCGCATCCATACTGGGGTGGGGCTGCAGAGGTGGCCCCCAGCACCCACCCCACCTCTCTCAATTACGTCAACGTAGTATAATAATCATATCGCTCAACAATCCGATGCTTTTTTAACAACACAAACATCTACTATTTTTTTTCAAAAACCTAATGTTTCGAATTATGTGCAAACACTTTTGGTATGCATGCAACTATCCATTTCCAAAATAATTTTATCTTTACCTTATTTAAGCTCTGTACGACGTGCCAGTACAGTTATTATGTCCTTTTAAATCGAGCAGGCGCGAGACTGAGTGTGTGTAATGATTACCCACATGCGCTAAAGTCAGTCCACCGTCGGCTGTAGATAGGGTTTGCTTGTGACTTGTGGCATGCGTACTGCAATTGAGGTCAAAGGTCGAAACCTAGCCATATCGATTAAACCTATTGCTGTAAAAACGGAATCTAAAGTCAATAAAGTTTTGAATACAGAGGTTTAGATTTGTCGATATATGTTTTATGCCTTATCAACGGGCACACCCTTATGGAATCTGTGTTTGAAAGATTGTGATCCCTAAGCTTTGATTTCTAAGATTTTGCACGTCCTTCATACTTCATCGAGTTTGGGTTACACCTTAGACTCCATTTACATAACATATCCTATTATGATTTATCCTTTTTTCATATCAATTTCGCCCAAATGCATAATCCCTTCCGTGCAGAACGAAGACTTATTATGTGTTTAATAAACCGAAGTCTGCATCATGTACAATAATTGGGTGTGATATTTCAAGAATTACTATATATTTCTATGAAAACCTAACCCATAAACGTGGATATGAGGCCATGGGTTCTCGGCAGGAAGTAAAGAACGAAAAAGACGTGGGCGAGAGGCCCGTCTGTCGTAAAGTCAAATCACGGCCTGTGTCCCATGCAAAGAGCGTGTTTTACCATCATTTCACGCACTGTGTGAACAAGTTTACAAACACTGCCTGAGCCACGAGCGGAAATGACAGTGTTTATTTCACCTCAGGTGTCAAAGCTCGCCTATTACCCGCCGCTAGCGTTCCACTGCTCGAGCTTGCTGCTCTCATTCACACAATTGATTGCCTCGAATCGTGGCCTCATTATCCACTTAAGGACACGATGGGTGGAGCTACGGCACACCGAGTTGTAATCTATTTATAGCGAAGGCAATCCTTCTGTGATGTCACGAGACTTTTCACTGCGCGGATGTGTATGTAAGTTTTCTTAACACGTTTATACTTCCGTACTGTTCGTGTTTTATATAAGTATCGAAATTATACCATGACAAGAAATATCACTCGATCTAGCTTTTGATACTAAATTATAACGTTTGTGCATTTCGTTTGTCGCTGCAGTGGGATTATATTTCACCGCGTAGCCTCATATGCAGTAGTTAACAGGTTATTGAATCGACCAATGAGATTGGACAGGTTAGTCACGTGAATCGGAAATACACAGATCTCGATTCATTCATAAGTATAGTCATTCATCTACATGAGGTTCATTACATAGATACGCAAGACGACGTGAACAAAGTCAAACAACCATGGAAGCAATATCTTTGGATTACTTAGCTCGGAAAATACAGAATGGGGACCCCGAAAAGATGCTCGTGCTGGACACAAGGCCGTTCATGTGCTTCAACGAAGCTCACGTGGAGGGGTCAGTCAATGTCCATTTACCACCGATAGTGAAGAGACGCTCGGGGGGATTTGTGGCCCTGGAAAACATTGTACCTCGTGCCTCAGAAAGGGACGCTTTGATTGCCGGGAAATACAGTGAAGTTATTGTCTATGACCAGAACACAAGCGACTTGTGTTTAGCAGAGAAGGACTCCAACCTGTATGTTATTTTGCAGAGTTTGAAACAACAGGTGGAGCGGACGCATGTGGTTTATCTGACAGGTAAGATTAACTCTGAGTGTTGGACTGCGTACCACGCGATATAAACTAGGCCACGCCAAATGCTAGGTCAGTTTTAAAAGTTAAAAAAAATCGTCGAGCTCTTATCAGTACATAAGTGAGATTCGTGTTTGGTGTTACTTTTTATTGGCTCGATTCAAAAACTTCTGATGGTAGTCAAATGGTAACTAAAAAAAGTCAGATTATTATTTGTAACTGTTTAACAACATCAAAGACCATCTACCGTATATGTTCTCAGCCAACTTTTAACTAGAAATATGAACTTCTAAAATATTTATGTATTTATATAATTTATTACTTTGTAGATTAGATTATGTATGCACATATATTAAACACGCATTTACATACTTTATATTTCATGATCACAGAGTACATATCATATATCCTTATAGCTCCGAGACTCTTACGAATGTTTTAAAGCGACAGGTGGACGATACCTTTTAATTCAGAAGTAAATTTTTCCTACATGCGCTGACGCGGAACACTCTGTACATGCTGTTACATACCTTTGCAGATTAAAATTAAACATAATCTGCATATTTTGAAATGTGACGTGGTGTTGTCTTCTGAATTTAATTTTGAACCTAGCCATATTATTTATTTTGAATATTTTCAGCCAATTAAAAACTCACATTATAGATCAGGAACAGACTCAAAATAACACAACTAACAGAATATAATGAATAAACTGAGATTTGCCAAATAATTGGGGGGTATTTTTTCTGTTGAAAACTCAGCATACAATGCCCATAAAACTATCCTGAACAATATTCATCACATTCATATTTACTACCGTAATTCGTACAGTTAACTGAGCTGGGATAAGTTGATTAGCCAAAATTGGGACTATGCTCCCTAGTTATAATGACCTTTAATCGCATGTGGGATTAATCACGGTTATTAGACAATGACAGCCCTTGACCGCAGTGACTAATTACGTCATCTCCAAGGTGTGCCTCGTGTCGTGTTATACAACCGGAGGATGGACAACGTTTGAAACAATGTAACACGACGTTAGCGCGAGATCGCCGAATTGGCGTAATGGTATCTTCTGGGTCATAAGCGAAAACTGCCCTAGCTGATAGACAAATTTACGACCCAGCCATAGACAGATGAAATCGACACGACTGTTCAGCTGTTTCCTTGTCAGTCATGTTATCACTGAACCAAGCAGCATTGATATGGTTGATCTCGGTAGAAATGAAGACATCGTATACGATACTTTTCAGTTACCAGTCAGTCCAGCTATATCTGGATTCATGTTTTTAAAAAATCCAAAATTATCTAGAATAAATATATTATGTATACTTTTGAGATCAACTTTTCAGTGGTCTCTATGTAGGAGTCGATTTAAAATTATAATCTTCCTTCATTTTAATCTTCCATACGGGGCGGTGGGGTAGCCTAGTGGTTATTTTAAAGCGTTCGCTCGTCACGACAAAGACCTGGGTTCGATTCCCCACCTGGGTACAATGTGTGAAGCTCATTTCTGGTGTTCCCCGCCGTGATATTGCTGGAATATTGCTAAAAGCGGCGTAAAACCTAACTCACTCACTAATCTGCCATACCAGGTCCCTTGAGCACAGATACGTTGTATTTGTTGTATTTATGTACCAGAGCTTGAACAGTAGCCCAGTGGTAAAACTTTGGCTTGTTGAGCCAAAGTATCGGGTTTTATCGCGACAAAGTTCACAGCATGACACTCATTGCTTGTCATCACCGCAAGGCTTTGTTGGCTAGACTGTACATAAAGCCGTTACGTCATCCATTATTACTGAGTGTGATTGTACAAAAACAACGATCACCACCATGTTTTTCTTTCCTTTTTAGGCGGTTTCACAGCGTTCCGTTCTGCCTACCCATCCTTGGTGGTGTGTCCCAAGTCCACCCCTCAAGTCTTGTCGGCTAGTCTGTTTACTCTGTCACTGCCGTCCGTCACACCAAACAATGTAAGTATTACAACATCCATGTACACCATGTCCAATGTAGTGAGGTGAGGTGAAATTGGGTTTAACGTCGTGCTTGAGAATATTTCGCTCATATGGCGACGTGCATGCGTGTGTATGTGTATGTGCGGCTGCTTGTACTAGCCCAGACTTAAGCTGATTTTATAGTGCTAGCCCACTGAGATACCATGCCACAGTGAAGCATGAATACCCCACTCAGACACATAATACTGACTCCGAGCCGACCAGTTTTTTGTTGTACCCATTAATGCCGAGCGCCAGACAGGGACCAACAAGTACCATATTTTAACGTCTTTTGGTATGACGCGGTCGGGGATCGAACCCGCAACCTTCCGCTCTCCGGGCGGGCGCTCTAACCACTACACCACGGAGGAGGGTCTTAAAATGTAGTTTGGCAACTAATCAGTCAAAACGTCCTCTCATTCATATTAGGGGTTGACGGCGGTAGCCTAGTGGTTACAGCGTTCGCTTGTCACACCGAAGACCCGGGTTCGATTCCCCACGTGGGTACAACGTGTTAAGGCCATTCTGATGCCCCCCCCCCCCCCCCCCCGTGATATTGCTAAAAGCGGCGTAAAGCGCAACTCAAACATTTATATTAAGGTGTTTGATATCGTTCAGATGTCGATGGGACGTTTAAACTCATTCACCCCAGTTTGAGTTTCATTTCACACAAGGAAATAATTACCGCGTCAAGATCTAAGTCTTAATACTCTAGATCATGATTCGTTTGTATTGGTGTTATTTGTAATGTTGGGGATGGGCAATAAGCACATCCATCCCACGTATATATGACCACGCGGCACTAAGTCCCGTATGTTTAATGACGTCATGAATGCTGATGACGTTTGATGTAGCACAACTCAATTGTCACGTGTTGTGGAATGTTATCAAATTTCCCTTTCCTCAAGGTAGTTTTAGACTCAAGTGATAACTTGCTAATTTTCTACTGTCCTTTTGGCATGTTTCTTATATAGTTAACCAAACTCTTCTCGTCACTATATGGCTGAAAGATTGCCGATTTGACTTTAATTCTAACTCACTCACTCAATTTTGCTGCCGCTGCAACCCTTACCGTGTATTGTAAGATCGCGCCCGACGACTAGACCAAGGATAAGATGTAGAGTTGCTCACAAGTATCGCCGCCGCCAAGTCCTCGGTTCGATTCCCCACAAATGCAATCTCATTTCTGGTGTTCCCCTTCGTCATATTGCTAAATATTGCAAGAAGCACCGTAAAACCCCACTCACTATTAAGAGCCTACTGTGGCAATGTTGCCAGTACCATTTGGTTACGATCAGTTACTAAGCGCCACTCCACCCCGCAACCTTTCAAAACAACGTTTAGATTCTTCATTGATCATATACATGTAGTCTCACAGTCACTGAACCATATTATTTTCCCTTCAGCCTAGCCCTCCCCGCAATGATAAGCCCTAAATGAATCTAGTCTAGATTTCCCCAATCTTTGGGCTCCCTGGGGCTTCTTTTCAATTCAAAAGGGTTTATTTGTCACAATCAAAATTATACATGTTCATAGACTAAACGTTAGTCTACTGATCAGAGTGTGCGACGAGGAATTTGTTTTAGTTCGTAGTTCGCCTTCACCTCAAATGCGCAAATGTTCGGCTAAAACAAACGGGTATTATTAAGTGACCGTGCGACTTATCGCTCTTCCCGATCAGAGGCGGAACACCGGTACAGTATGTTTGCGTTTGCCTTCAACCTTTTCCCACCCTCCCATCTTCCCGTAAACCGGATCGTCAATCACAGCGTATCCTCTCCACTTCAGTCGCTGACAGCACGTGCGTTGGATCACTTCCGTTCCGACGGCGGATGTTGAACTTGAAAGATTGAGGAATGCTACAGTTTCCGCTATTAATTGCAAGGAAATAGCCTCCATTGCTACAGGCTAGGGGGAAACTTGTCGGACAAGATAATGATACAAGAGCATCCAAAAGTCGTCACGGAGGTACAATATTATTTACATAGACCGGTTTCCGCTGCCAGAATTATTTCCGGTTTCCAATTTATTTTGAGTAGCCATCCGTGGCCTCTACTTAAACACATGGCGTATGCCTAAATGCCTGGCGCCCACGTGTTGCTCCTTACACTGTTGTACTGTTCGTATTGTGCGCGAACTATCGGAAACACGTTGTGTGTATAAGACCATTCATTCACTTATAATTAACAGTTGCAGCAGTTAACAAGTAACAGAGGCCTCTCACGTCGATGATAGCGGAACGCTCGGCTTAGAAGATAAACGCACTTATAATTATACCGCGAATATCTGGCAGCATGCCATATGCTTAGTGCTCGCACTTAGTTATAGTGGAGAAGGTTTGGGGTTTCTGGCCACGCGCCAAGCCTGTCTGTCCTATTTCCCGACTTATCTACAAATCTGCATATATTTAACTTCAAACAATACACAAGCGTCATGTTGTTACTTATATAGCTTATTTCATGACAAACGAACCAGTTCCCGACGCTCCCGGTGAAAGAATCCCCGCTAAGTAGGTAGCTCGTTTCCCCATTCACCAAGCCTTTTAATCTGTAAATATTTACATGTTCCGTGTTTATTTGTGAAATGAGGTTAAAATCGCCCACTTCCCTGATGGAATAATTATACTCACATAGGCTGCATAGCTGCTTCTGGTGCTTTGTAGCGCATTTAAACACGTGGATACAGCACTGTACTGTCTCTAGACATAAGGCTTCGATGTTGAATAACAAGGGTTATGGTAATGACGTTCTCACATCTCACTGAAGACCCGGGTTCGATTCCCCACATTGGTATAACGTGTGAAGCCCATTTCTGGTGTCCCCCGTCGTGATATTGCTGGAATGGTGCTAACAGGGCCTGGGGCATAAAACTACACTAACACTTAGTCCCTGAATATATATAATTCTGATAGTAACAAATAAACCCATTTAAATTGAAAAGGAGCCCCAGTGAGATGGGAGATTCAGACTTGTCTCATTTAAGGCTTTAGCATTGCTAGGATGGCTAGGTATAAGGAAAATCATCAGGGTGCCGTTGTACAAAACAACCTTAGCGCTAAGGCTACCTTAAGTCTATGTTAAAGTATGGGAGTTACGGTCACCTTAGCGCTAAGATCGCCTTTGTACAACGGCACCCAGGTCGGTGAAAAAACAAATTTACTTTAAAATAATTTTGTTTAATTTTGTGGTCTTTTGACGTGCTTAAGATGCTTTTAAAAAGCTTTTCAACACAATTTGAAATAGATCATTTATTTGCAAATTGTTACTTAATTTCTAAAAGGTGGAATAATACCTCGGTTTACCTCATTACATTGATGGATTCGTAGAAACAGATTTTTTAAAAACAAATATCAAGCCTTGTGAAAAGGAAAAACACGTGCTGGCTGTTCCACTTGCTCATGTTTTTAATTAATTCTTTAACGACCCGTATCCTTTAACGTTTTGCATATCCCAGGACTGGAACGTATTCAGAATAACCTCAGATTTAACTTTATTTGCCAGTGCATCTACGTCATCAAACAAGATTGAGTTTATGCCATGTACACATTCTGACGAAATGTGCTCTCATCGACAATCACAATAATCCGAAAGAGCCTTATGTATACAAGATGAGTCGATGAAAACCGCCTACTGTGCAACCTCCTGGTGTGACATGCATACAGACTAATCCCACAATCGGGGCACCTGTTTGTTGACAAAATGCAGGTCTTATCGGGTAGAAACCTAAGACGAAATAAGGCAACTTTGTTTGCCCACTCCTTTGCGCTAGACGTCGGATAAAGCCTTTTGAGAAATGTAGGATTGGTCTTTTAACCCGTCTCTATAGCTCTCTCAACTAACCCGTTACGGAATGTTGAGCTGAATTGTATAGGGTTTACAACTAATTTAACGTCTAGTTCTCCCAAGCTGGTCGTTGATATGTATTGCTGTATACGCCTTTTAAAAGGAAAAAGATCGTGACATGGCTGTAAAACCGAACACATGGTTCATTTCCTTCGTGTGTAAGAGTATATACACACGTACCCACCCTGTAACTGAGCTGTATCCTTTAGTGCCCTTTGCTGATATTTTGATCGCGTTTTGAATGTTCGCTTGTGCTGACTGTTAATGTTTCTTTCAGAGCGGACCCGTGGAAATTCTTCCTCACCTTTACCTCGGTGACGCCAGGCACGCTGCTGACCATGACCTTCTTACCCGTTTGTCCTTCACCGCCATCCTGAACGTTTCGACTTCCTGTGAGAACCATTTCGAGTCTGACTTCCGGTACATGAAGATCCCCGTTCAGGACAATTCGAGCGCTGACCTTCTGTCGTGGTTCCACAAGGCCATCGACTTCATCGGTAAGTGTTTTCATTTATTAGAGTTGATATTTAGACAGGACGATTAGGAAGGCATTGAAAGGCATATGGACTAGACGAACATGGCTACATGACACTTTTTTTATGGATAAAAAAGTATTTTTAAAAAGATTAAAAAAGTGTCTCGTATTCAAGGACGATTAGGATTTAAAACAGCAACCAGAAGTATAGTTTTCTGTGCTATTGTATCCCAGGTTGTGATCACGTGGAGGACTGGCTCTATCGTACTCCATATTAGTCTTAAGGAGCGTTTCGTTCACTCTTTTCGCAAACTGGGCTTATCATCAATGATCTGAAGTGATCTAATCATATGATTTGGGCCGGTGACAGTCAAATAACCTGCATACTAATCACCAACGCACTGCGCAAATTTTTTTATGTTGCTTGATTGTTCTGAACAATGTACTCACTAAATTTGCCTCATTTCAGATTCAGTCCGAACAAGTGGCGGCAAGGTGCTCGTGCACTGCCATGCTGGTATCAGTCGATCAGCCACAATCTGCCTCGCTTACCTCATGTCCACCAACAACCTCGCCCTCGAACATGCCTACGAACACGTCAGGCAGAGACGCAGCGTCATCGACCCCAACCTGAACTTCATGCGCCAGCTCAAAGACTTCGAGAGTGAACTCGGCACAGCGCGTGTTCGCCGAAGTTCCATCACAGGGCAGGACTGCACTCCCATAACTCCCAGCAGCGTCGAGTGTGGCTTGTCGTGCCACACGTTCACATTCCCTGTACCCGCACAGTGCGCACCCCTCGTCTCCCCCAGCTAGGGACGCTGGAGAAGTCATCGACGTGAATCAACCTTGCCTGCCTCCACATGGGCTGTCACGACATCGTCGTGTTTCGACGCCAATCATGGCGTTTCGTCACCGGATGTGGTATAGCGGCCATATTCCCGGAAGTGACATTGACGCCATTCTGCTAGAATGATGCTGGATTCTGTCTCAAATGGAACACTGCAGTTAATGCGTCACTTCCAAGACTATCACCAGCCTGGCGTAAATGTAAGATTTATGCAATTGTAAATACGTCTACGGTGCTGTCACGGTAGTGACCATAGCACTGATCAATATGCGCTGCTGTTCAATGTACATAGCAATATATACCGCTCCTTTGTAATTAACGACCTAAACAACCATACGTGCCAAATGGGACTCCACGGAAATCAGAACAAAATATATTTCATGTTGTTTCCGTCCCTGATATTGTTGTTACATTGACCCAACTGTTTATAACAGAGAATAGCATAGGAAGAGCGATATATTGACTCGTTAACTTTTCTATTGACACCTTAAAACGTTTTACATTTCCCATGTTTTGAAATAATTTCTGCAGTAACCAAAGCATTGTTAAAGAGTCGATGTTAGACACTGAAATAACGAATCAAGGAAACAGTCATGTGTTTTTTGGTTCTATCACCAGGTCTTGATCTCAAACAAATGTTTCTTAACATGCCCTTCCCTCTCAATAACCAGGAAATATTTTTTCTTAAATGTTTCAATGATCTTGATGTCAAGAATATTTTTATTTGTGAAGGTTGTGAGTTCATTTTCATTTCATATTATCGCCACGTGAAACCAATTTTCATTTATTTCAATCTGTTCAGCCCATGTTGCATAATAGCACATAATATGACTGCTCCACTTAACGAAGCGATACTTTTGTTTATTCTAAGCACAATGCGGGACCACTGGGCTTTTATGCTTGGTTCGTTGTATACCTCAGTTATTTGGCAAACCCATGTCGAAACATAATATTTCTTAACAGATATTTTTTCGTTGATTTATATGCAATGAAAAAAAGCAATAACAGTTTTTCGTTTCTTAATGTTTATGGAAAGAAGACATTTTCCCTTATTTTTCACGAGAGACCTCTTTCCGTTATGTTTTATCGTACGACAATTGCTCATACATTTCATAAGCAATCAATAATAGTTTTCATTTTGTGTAAATTTGGAACTTTTGTTAATTGAATATGCATGATTAAGTCACGAATACGTCATTGTTGTTATGGCAATCGCCGAACCGGTTTGGAATCTGATTTGCTCATGTTTTCCCCCCATGCACTGATCTGACCTTATGCAAGGTGCCTTAACCCTTGTGCTGGATGCACACTTGCAATGCAAATATTGCATTCATCCATATTATTGTATATTATTCTCGAACTTGGACAGTTTTTCGAGTTTTGTCAAACTTGACGGGTGCTCCTGACGTGTAATCACGCGAGTTGTATATTTTTGACAGTTTATTAATTTATTTTGTACTGCTCTGACGAGAATGTCAGGACTGGGTATACCCCAGGCATAATGAACGTCCAATAAATGAGTTCAAGTTACATAATGTTTCGTTCTTTCTCGTTTCCTTGTTTTGGAAACACAAATGCAGTGTTTGATTGGTTGGTTGGTTGGTTTATTGCTTATTCAGCACTATCACAGCTATATGTTGGCGGTCTGTAAATAATCGAGTCTGAACCAGACAATCCAGTGATTAACAGCATGAACATCGATCTACGCAATTGGGATTTGCGGACATCAGTAAACCAAGTCAGCAAGCCTGACCATCTGATCCCGTTACTCCCCTTTTACGACAAGCAAGGGTTGCTGGGGACCAATTCTAACCAAGGTTAAGGGGCGTCCGTCAAGATGGATACCTAATATCATGAACATCTATATCAGGCCGTAATACTGCATGATTTAAAAGTGTAATATAACTGAACAAGTTGGAGAGAGTGATCTATTTAGGAAATGACCCCATGAAAATTCACTAGCCAGTCGGGCCAGCGGCTGTGGAGATACGGTGGCCCGACAGGATTTTTACTAGCCACGGGCTAGCGGGACAGTGGCTCTTTCACACACTGCACCATGCTGATATGACGTGCTTCATCACTGCGTGTATAGTCACAATCCCCGCACCAGACTGCACCGCCCCCAGCTCTTTCTATATTGCAGTGAAAGTAAGGTTCCCCACCGCTTTTGTCACTATTCCAGCAATATCTGGGGGGACACCAGAAAAGGGCATCAAGCATTGCTCTCATGTGGGGAATTGAACCCGGGTCCTTCTCGCAACAAGCGAACGTCTTAACCACTAGGCTACCCCACCGCCCTTTCCTATATTGTAGAAGCCTCGCTAGGGCTCAAAGATTATGTATTCCAGAAAATATACGTTAGTCTACGTTGATTTACTCACATGTATTTGGTGCAGTGTTCTGTCAGTACCCGATATCAAATAACAAAATAACATAAAAGGAAATTCGTCTTAATACAATACTCCAGAAAAAGGAACGCTCAAATTATTAGGGCGGTGGGGTAGCCTAGTGGTTAAAGCGTTGGCTCGTCACGCCGAAGACCCGGGTTCGATTCCCCACATGGGCACAATGTGTTAAGCCCATTTCTGGTGTCCCCCCGCCGTGATATTGCTGGAATATTGCTAAAAGCGGCGTAAAACCAAACTCAGTCAGTCAGTCAGTCAAATTATTAAACTAAATATCCTTCAGTGACAGGTAGCAGCTGTTGTATCAGTGAAGACCCACTGACTTGTTCATATTAAAGTGTTGACTTTTGAAAGGGTTGTTGGTGGCAAAGGTACGACAGATATGTACCCCAGGTATGTTTCTGTGTACAGAAATGTACCTCAACAAAGTCAAAATACAGAAACGTACCCTAGTACCCTAAACAGGGGATGAGTCCATATTCCACAACTCAAAACCGAAACAGTATGTAGTTGTTCCTGTTCAACTAATGCGGGGCAGTGGGGTAGCCTAGTGGTTAAAGAGTTCGCTCGTCACGCCGAAGACCTTGGTTCGATTCCCCACGTGGGTACAATGTGTTAAGCCCATTTCTGGGCTCATTCACTCACTCAACTAACTGCGAGTGGTATTGTGCATCACAAAATATTCTTTCCTGCATATGCTTATTTCTCAGTGACCGCCTCCGTGGTGTAGTGGTTAGAGCGTCCGCCCGGAAGGTCGCGAGTTCGATCCCCGACCGCGTCATACCAAAAGACGTTAAAATATGGTACTTGTTGGTCCCTGCCTGGCGCTCGGCATTAATGGATACATCAAGACTGGTCGGCTCGGAGTCAGTATAATGTGACTGAGTGGGGTATTCATGCGTCACTGCGGCGTGGTATCTCAGTGGGCTAGCACTATAAAACCAGCTTAAGTCTGGGCTAGTACAAGCAGCCGCACATACACATTCACACGCATGCACGTCGTCATATGAGCGAAATATTCTCAAGCACGATGTTAAACCAAATTTCACCTCACCTCAAATTGGTTTTACAAGCGGGTCGAGCCCACGTCTTTTTCGTCACCAGTAACGCTGAAACTGCTACACTAGCCCGTAAAAGTAACAACTGTGTGCCGAAGAACTAAAGTCTAAATATAATGTCAAAAAATAATTCCATTATGCATTCTAAATACATGTAATCCAAGAGATTACGATGCCGACTGCAGTTTCCAGTGAGAAAACGTAAATTGCTTATTGTATTAAGTGGAGTTATTTGGATTCAGGGTACACTTGTTTGAAAAACACTACGTTGGCTGTAACTCGTACTGGAATATTGTGGGAGCATTTTACAGCATTGCCGAGTCCAATACGCAGGATCCCACGTCACGTAATACTCTGGCAAACACCATGGTGTACAGGCTTGGGAGTCATGTTTAATATGGAATCTTCTTGAACAGCTCCAGCGAGTGAGTGACTTTAGTTTTACGCCGCCTTTAGGAATATTCGAGTTATGACACAGCTAAATGGGCTTCACACATTATGTGGGGAATGTAACTTGGTTCTTCGACGTGACGAGCGAACGCTCCAACCACTAGGCTAGCCCATCGCACATGCAGCTATAGACTATGCAGCCAGAATGACATGAAACTTTCGAGAAGATGTTTAGACTATACAGGTGGGCAAGCGCAGGATTTTGATGTCTCACATTACATCAAAATATGGATGTTTTGTTTCACCGTGTGCATGAACACCCAGCCAAGGCATCTTTGGAAGCTGAATCATCATTAGGGACCGTCCATAATTTATGGCTAGCGGGGGGTGATGATGGTTATCTTTGGAGAAGCATGTACAATGTGAATTACCCCCTCTCGACCCCCGTAAATTTTATGTACAAAGTGACACACCCCTCCCCCCTCGAATACTTCCCCATACTTTCAAAATATCTGCATTGACATTAAATAACCTGCTTCACTCAAAAAAACCTTCTCTTCAGTAGGGGTAGTTTATTAAGTTACTGTTCTACATCAGTATGTACAGTACAACCAGAAATTATTGAGAATTTAATATTGTAAAATTTCTTTTTATATTTCACTCATTACTCACGTATTAAATGTGAATATTAGCAGAACATAGCTCCAGATTCAAAGACAGGTGAACAGTTAGTATTTTGTCAAGTCATAATGGGCAGCAATGCAAGCTTCAATGCGGCGGGGCATGCTACTGATCAAAGAAGTTAGAAAGTCGTGGTCCATATGCTGTCCCAATATCGGACCACCTCTTCTTTCATTTCAGCAATATTTGTCAGATTTTTCTTATTGACACTTTCCTTCATAAGTCCCCAAACATTTTCTTTTGGATTAAGGTCATGGCTATAGCTTGGCCAATCTAATAATGTAATATTTTGGGTCCGAAACCAGGCCTGTGAATGCTTTGAACGATGTTTTGGGTCGTTTTCCTGCTGGAAAATCCAAAGTATTTCCATAGAACACGTGAGCAGATGGAAGTAAATGTCCCTCGAGAATATCTGTGTACCGCTCACTTTCATATTCCCTTCAAATACAAAGAGGGGCGTTGCCCCTAACACAGATATGCCACCCCACATGTTAAATTTCGGACTGTACATTGGGCGCTGATACAAAGGTTTTTCAGTTTGCTTCGTCCAGAATTTCAGTGTATTAGGAAACAGCCACACAGAACTTTCATCTGAGAAAATCACATTGTCCCAGTTAAAATTTCTATGCTGTTAGCACCATTTCAACCTTCGCTCCTTTTGTTCAGGTTCCATAATCGATGATGGAATTCCTCGACTTTTCTGCCAACCCATTGCATATGCAGCTCAGTTCTAATTGTCTCCTTACAGACAGCCACAGTTCCTCTATCAATTATATCCAGCCTTAAGTTTTCTAAACTCCTTCGTTTGTTTTTAGAAACAACAATACCAAGCCACCTCCTGTCATCGACAGTCAATTTTCTGGGCCTACCTGTGCCTCCCTGGTGCTCAATGCCATATCCATTTGCAATATTTTTCAAAACCCGATAAACAGTGGACAAAGGGATGCCTGTTCTACTTGAAATCACTTTAGCTGATCTGATGTCCTTGTTATAATACTCTAAAATCAACTTTCACTTCTCTAAATCATCCATACTGAGGATCACTGAAAATGTCGTCTGCTAGCAAGTAAACAAAGGGGAATAACTCTTCACAAACTAATGAAAAAGGATTAACGGAGTTGTCTCTCTTGAATGAAACCAAACACTTGATAGCTGGTCAAGGTTGTTAATACTAGAAATCCAATTAAAGATATTCCTTAAAATTTCAATAATTTCTGGTCATACTATATATGAATTACATATAACTGTTCTATTTATGTATATATTTTTGTGTGTGTGTGTGTGTGTGTGTGTGTGTGTGTGTGTGTGTGTGTGTGTGTGTGTGTGTGTGTGTGTGTGTGTGTGTGTGTGTGAGATGATGTTTAATAGTAACTTAATAATGACTGATCTTTATGACATATACAGTAACCTTAAACAATTATAATAACGAACATGGAATGTCTCTTCCTTGACTTGGGCGGTGGGGTAGCCTAGTGGTAAAAGCGTTCGCTCGTCACGCCGAAGACCCGGGTTCGATTCCCCACATGGGTACAATGTGTGAAGCCCATTTCTGGTGTTCCCCGCCGTGATATTGCTGTAATATTGCTTAAAGCGGCGTAAAACTAAACTCACTCACTGTCCCTTGACGACGCTCCCGACCAAATTCAACAAGACTGTGTTGGCGATGTCCGTGCGGCGACGCACTGCTCCAGAGACAGCCGAGCGAGCATGGGATCGGGGGTGAAAGTTGTATCACCTGTATGAGGCAATTGTCTGCGAAGCATAATACCCATCAAGGTAACATAACGACCATCCTTATCAAGGCGTGCTGGGAATCATACATACACGAAGCGACGACGTAGTCCCGAGCCAACTGAAGGCGAGACGGAGCGCCCAACTGTGACTGGTTCTGTGTGTAGGCGCGATATGGGATGAAACCTCGATGATCAGGGATGGGAGATGGGGGTCAGCCGGTTACCAGTTAAGTTGAATACTTCACATACAATTGAACAGATGA